CACACACACACACACACACACACACACACACACACACACACACACACACACACACACACACACACACACACACACAGTCATTCAGAAGAGTCAAAAACTGCCTTCAAATTCTATTTCAATCTAAAGATATTTATATTTAGTCACAGAGCAAGCACATAGCAACAGCCTAGCAACCACCAGGTAACAACTCAAAGCATCCTAGCAACCACATAACAACATTCTAAAATGCAGAGTCTGACAATTCTATTGAAAATGCTTCTATTTTGCATTGTTTGATAATAATAATAATAATAATAATAATAATGTAATTTAATAAAGTTATAAATTATATGATCAGAATAACATTTTGGAAGAAAAGCTGTATTGAAATTTGTAGTCTCACATGATCAGTGTTATTTATTTAGGCTACTTACATTTAATTTATATATAAAATATTTCTTCATTTTATGTCCTAACTTTTATTTATAAAATATTTATACATAGAAGAAAAAATGTACATGTATTTTATTTATATATAAAGAATTCATTCGTAATCTGTCTTTTATATAAAAAGTTATATATAAAATAAAATTAACGTTTTTTTATTTTTATTAAAATATTTTTCTTCATTTTGTCATAACCTTTCTTTCATATATAAAACATGTATAAATAAAATAAAAAGTTTAAATATTTTATTATATGTAAAATGTATCTAAAGATTTATATATTTATTTATATATAAAATATTTCTCTTTCATCACAGTCACAGCTTATATAAAGTATTTATATTAGTGCTGTCAAGTGATTAATCGCATCCAAAATAAACGTTTTTGTTTACATAATATATGTGTGTGTGCTGTGTTTATTTATTATGTATATATAAAAGCACACACATACAGTATATATTTTGTATATATTCATATAATTTATATTATATATAAATATATTTAATATATAAACATAACATATTTTTCTTAAATATATACATGCATGTGTGTGTATTTATATATGCATAATAAATATACACAGTATACGCACATATATTATGTAAACAAAAACTTTTATTTGGGATACGATTAATCGCGATTAATCGTGTGACAGCACTAATATATACAAAAAATAAAAATTATAAAATAATACATTATTTATATATAAAATTATGTCTTATTTATTTATATATAAAAGTAGTTATAAGCTTTCTTGTATATAAAAATAATTCTTATTTGCTTTATTAATATGTATAGATGAAAATATTTATATTTTATTCCTATATTTCCTCTTCGTTTTATGTCATAACTTTGTCCTAAATTCTTCAAAGTTCTTCAGCTTTATTTCCAGGTTTAAACAAACGACCTCACTGTACATTATTATGAGTATGACTAAATAAAGCACGCTAGTGAATTCAACGATATCTTTATCGCATGACTGAGTCTCTTCCATTTGGACTTCTGCTCTCTCCAAGTGCCAACACCTCGGCAAATCCGGATCTGTCAGATCGGGGTGTTTCAAAAGCCTCCCTGAAAACAGTTTAGTGTTCTGACACTTTCCCACAGCTCTTCTCCGTGACCAATCGGCGCATTCAGAGCGACCGCACACATGCGACCCCGCCGCTGACCCGGGATCGGCTGAGCCGCGGGTGTGAGTCGCTAATCGGAATCGCTTCTCCGGCCTTTTTGTTCTCGCTAATGAAAAGCGGAGCTCTAGAAGCCGGCCTCCCCTCCCCATCCGCCCATTCTGTCCACTTCAGGCCCCCGTAGACATGAGGCCCTCAATAGAAATGACTTTTATAGACTTTTTTCCAGCTCATCTCCCCGTACAGAGAATGAGACGTGTCCATCTCTTGAAAGGAAACACTGAGAGCAGAAGATAATGTGATATGCATCATTTGCTGCGGGCGTGTGGGTGGGGCTGAGGGTCAGCTGACCCTTTAACAGGGCGTTTAAGTGGAAACTATTTAGACTCAATAGCGAGCAGAGAGCATGACTAACCTGCTTACTCACGCCGCTGACGGTGGCCGCTCTGGCGATTTGTCCAACACATTAAAAAGGCATCGCTGAATGTGTTCAGAGCACCTGAGAGTTTTATTCATTAATTTAGGCCTGTGTGTGTGTGTGTTTTAAAGTTCATTCCGTTTTCTAATGCAGACATGGCTCTGATGAATCATGGAAAGTCAGATTGTTGCTATCCTGAAAAGTATAGCGAAATTGCAATGTGACGCATTTAAATAATCACATAAATGACATAATGAATATTTAGCCCCAAATTGACAAATTTATACCCTCGGCAGGGATCAATGCTGTAAATTCGCTATTATAAATAAATAAATACAAAAAACTCAACCAAAAACATAATAACAGAGGTCATGTTTCTCTATTTTTGGATATATTTTTTTTACCCTTAGGATAAATCTTTTATAAAAAAAAAATAAATAAATAAAAATAAAAAATAAAATAAAATAAAATAAAATAAAATAAAATAAAATAAAATAAAATAAAATAAAATAAAATAAAATAAAATAAAATAAAATTCCTATTAAAATATAAAAATAAACAAAGGTTTACCTTTTTTGAATATATATTTATACCCTTAGGATAAATCCTATACATTTCATATAAATAGAATAAAATAAAACAAAATTAAATTAAACTAAATATTGAATAAAAATACCCTTAGAACAGCTAAATTCTAAAATTCCTTATAAAACATATAAAAATAAATAAATAAATAAATACAAAAAAACCAAACAACCACAAATATTATAACGGAGGCCATGTTTCACTTTAAAAAAAAAAAAGTTAGGATAAATAACTTTCCTATAAATAAAATAAAGTAAAATAATTCATTAAAATGAACATACCTTTAGAAGTGCTAAATCCGACACATTCCTGATCTAAGTGAATGAATGAATAAATACAAACAACAACAAAACAACAAAACAATTCTTCCATATTTTTGGAACATATTTATATTAATAAATCCTATACATTTACTATAAATAAAATAAAATAAAACACCATTAGAAGGGCTAAATCCTATACATTCCCTCAAAATATACAAATAAATAAATAAACACATTTAAAAGTATTTATTTAAATTAAATAAAAAATTCTATATTTTACAAATATTATCCCCTTAGCAAGTAAGATAATGTTACATGATAACATATTACATGATAAATCCTATACATTCCCTATAAATACATACATACATACATACAGTCCATAAATAAAAGAAACCCTGTCTCCTCTCATCGTGATGTGTGTGTCCTGCAGAGGGCGTGGGGTCTGTGCTGTGGAGTCCAGCGCTGAGCTCCAGGTCTCAGCCGGGAATCCTGCGGCGGGCTGTGTTTTCTGAGGAACAGAGACGAGAGCTGGAGAGAACCTTCCGCAAGCAGAAATACATCAGCAAGACCGAGCGCAACCGACTGGCCACCGACCTCTGTCTGAAAGAGACGCAGGTCAGACCACAGAAACACACGCTCAACTTGTGCTGCGTCATCATTTTGTGGAAACCGTGATACACTATGTGATAAAAGCTTGGCGTAAGTCATTTTTTAAAAGAAGTTAATACTTTCATTAATCAAGGATGCATTCAATTGATCAAAAGTGACAGTAAAGATATTTCTATTTGAGACTTCTATTTAAAATAAATGCTGTTCTTTTCAACTTTCTATTCATCTGTGAATCCTAAAAAATAAAATGTATTACGGTTTCCACGAAAATATTAAGCAGCACAACTGTCTTCAACATTGATAATAATCAGAAATGTTTCTCGAGCAGCAGATCAGCATATTATACTGATTTCTGAAGATCATGTGACACTGAAGACTGGAGGAATGATGCTGAAAATACAGCTGCACATCACAGAAATACATTACAGTTTAACACATATTCACATAGAAAACAGTTATTTTAAATTGTACAAATATTTCAAAATTTTACTGTATTTTCAATCAAATAAATGCTGACCACTGAATGGTTTAGTGTAAACGGGAATGTATAATTAACTAATCATCTTTTACTCTCATGACATCATAATTGAAAGTTTAAAGTCCTTAAGTTTTCTAATTCCAATTTTTAGCCAGAAACTCATAACTCTGGTAATCCCGACATGACGTAAATATAGTTATGAAAGAGCAAAATCGGAGCACTTAAATGTTCCTGTAGGCCTTCAGGAGGAGATGCGTGAGGGAAAAGATTAAAGATGAAACAAACAGCAAGAGAAAGAAAGAAAATAAAATAAAATAAAATAAAATAAAATAAAATAAAATAAAATAAAATAAAATTCCTATTAAAATATAAAAATAAACAAAGGTTTACCTTTTTTGAATATATATTTATACCCTTAGGATAAATCCTATACATTTCATATAAATAGAATAAAATAAAACAAAATTAAATAAAACAAAATATTGAATAAAAATACCCTTAGAACAGCTAAATTCTAAAATTCCTTATAAAACATATAAAAATAAATAAATAAATAAATACAAAAAAAACCAAACAACCACAAATATTATAACGGAGGCCATGTTTCACTTTAAAAAAAAAAAAGTTAGGATAAATAACTTTCCTATAAATAAAATAAAGTAAAATAATTCATTAAAATGAACATACCTTTAGAAGTGCTAAATCCGACACATTCCTGATCTAAGTGAATGAATGAATAAATACAAACAACAACAAAACAACAAAACAATTCTTCCATATTTTTGGAACATATTTATATTAATAAATCCTATACATTTACTATAAATAAAATAAAATAAAACACCATTAGAAGGGCTAAATCCTATACATTCCCTCAAAATATACAAATAAATAAATAAACACATTTAAAAGTATTTATTTAAATTAAATAAAAAATTCTATATTTTACAAATATTATCCCCTTAGCAAGTAAGATAATGTTACATGATAACATATTACATGATAAATCCTATACATTCCCTATAAATACATACATACATACATACAGTCCATAAATAAAAGAAACCCTGTCTCCTCTCATCGTGATGTGTGTGTCCTGCAGAGGGCGTGGGGTCTGTGCTGTGGAGTCCAGCGCTGAGCTCCAGGTCTCAGCCGGGAATCCTGCGGCGGGCTGTGTTTTCTGAGGAACAGAGACGAGAGCTGGAGAGAACCTTCCGCAAGCAGAAATACATCAGCAAGACCGAGCGCAACCGACTGGCCACCGACCTCTGTCTGAAAGAGACGCAGGTCAGACCACAGAAACACACGCTCAACTTGTGCTGCGTCATCATTTTGTGGAAACCGTGATACACTATGTGATAAAAGCTTGGCGTAAGTCATTTTTTAAAAGAAGTTAATACTTTCATTAATCAAGGATGCATTCAATTGATCAAAAGTGACAGTAAAGATATTTCTATTTGAGACTTCTATTTAAAATAAATGCTGTTCTTTTCAACTTTCTATTCATCTGTGAATCCTAAAAAATAAAATGTATTACGGTTTCCACGAAAATATTAAGCAGCACAACTGTCTTCAACATTGATAATAATCAGAAATGTTTCTCGAGCAGCAGATCAGCATATTATACTGATTTCTGAAGATCATGTGACACTGAAGACTGGAGGAATGATGCTGAAAATACAGCTGCGCATCACAGAAATACATTACAGTTTACAGTATTTTAGGAAAAACAAATACTGATATTGTTACATGCATGCCTTGTTTTCTGTTCTCTCCATTGTGACCTAGTTTTCCTGAGTTGCCTGATTATGTCATTCAGTTCACCTGTTGTCTATTAATCATCTCATTAGTTCCCTTTGTTTGGTTCATGCTTATAAGTCCTCAGTTCTCCCTTAGTCTTTGTCCGTTCTCCATCTATGTTAAGTTGGTTTCCGTGCCTGTTCTCCTGGATTTATCTGATTAAAAGACTTCTCGTTGATCTCCTTCGTCCTCGTGGAGTTTGTATCCCCAACGTGTGACAGAAGAACGGACCGACTACAGTTTTTTTTGTGGCGTTTTGTTCCCTTTTTCCCCACTCTTCTGTCACCATGGACATTCCTGCTGTGGCCCTGCTATGCCTGGAGCAGGGTGACTGTCCGCTGGAAGACCACACATGGGACTTTTTGCATCTCGCGTGCCTGACTCATTACCCTGATCGCTCGCTCTGTGTTTTTTACTACGGCAGCCTGAGCGAGCAGTCGAAGGCACACATTCCAGCAGTTTTGCCGTATTTGTGGAGTGGGTGCTGGAGAATAATGGACTGCATTTCTCCTTGGCTCCTCCCACCCTCCACTCCCTCTTGGACTCTTTTGGACTTTTTGTTTCTGCCTTTCTCCTGTTCCACGCCCTCCTCAGTTGGACTTTGTTACGGCGCAGGGACGCGCCTTCCCGGGAGGGGGCGCACTGTTACATGTATGCCTTGTTTTCTGTTCTCTCCATTGTGACCTAGTTTTCCTGAGTTGCCTGATTATGTCATTCAGTTCACCCGTTGTCTGTTAATCATCTCATTAGTTCCCTTTGTTTGGTTCATGCCTATAAGTCCTCAGTTCTCCATTAGTCTTCGTCTGTTCTCGGTCAATGTTAAGTTGGTTTCCGTGCCTGTTCTCCTGGATTTATCTGATTAAAAGATTTTTCGTTTATCTTCTTCGTCCTCATGCAGTTTGTATCACCAATGCATGACAGATATAGAATTTTGGGGGGGATTTTTTCCCCTCCCAACAACAGGCATCTGGAAAAAGTGTTGTGTTTTGAAAAATGTGCATTTTGATCTTTGGTTGTGAATTAAGTGGCTAGAGTTTTGAAAAATGACATGAAGATTCTGTTATTAGTGCAAAGTTTGGTTCATGCCTATAAGTCCTCAGTTCTCCATTAGTCTTCGTCTGTTCTCGGTCAATGTTAAGTTGGTTTCCGTGCCTGTTCTCCTGGATTTATCTGATTAAAAGATTTTTCGTTTATCTTCTTCGTCCTCATGCAGTTTGTATCACCAATGCATGACAGATATAGAATTTTGGGGGGGATTTTTTCCCCTCCCAACAACAGGCATCTGGAAAAAGTGTTGTGTTTTGAAAAATGTGCATTTTGATCTTTGGTTGTGAAGATGCTGAAAATACAGCTGCGAAATGACATGAAGATTCTGTTATTAGTGCAAAAATGATTGTAAACAACGAAGCTAAATGCGAACAACAGACCTCTATATTTACGGTTTGATGTCAAACCTGGGTTTTCACACTCTGTAAGTCGATCCAGTTTGCTGAATGCGGTACATGTGTCCCGCAGGTGAAGATCTGGTTCCAGAACCGCAGGATGAAGTGGAGGAACTCCAGAGAGAAGGAGAGCACATACACACGACCGCTGATGGCTCCAGAGCATCAGTCGCTCCAATCTGAACCGGCGGACAAAACACACACGCCAGCGCAGACCAAACACACTCACACTCACTCACCGGTGCACAGCACAAACGCTGAGACCAGATGACAAATCAGAGGAGAGAACAGACTCTTGATGCGAAACAGCTGGAAAAGATTTCTACGCAAAAACTGCAAATATCTAGGAATTTTACAGTTGTGATTTATAGGCCCGGAAATGTCTTTAAAAGTGATGGGAAAGTCTGAACTTTTGGGAAAACTTTACAATACGTTTCTATTTGTTAACATGAACTAACAATGAAAATCGTAGTTAATGTTAATTTCAACATTATGAGATACTACATCATAATTATGACAAAAAAATCATAAATATCAGAAATTAAGTCATAACTATGAAATATACCCCCGTTTCACATACAAGGCTTAAGCTAGTCCCAGACTAAAATGCATGTTTGAGCTGTCTCAACTGAGAATACCTTGCTCTGACATATCTTAAAATATGTCAGTGTCATTGTTCTGTCTCAAGATGCACACCTGTAATGTTTTCTTCTAAGGCATTTTTGTAAAAGTTGCTTAAATATCTTAATTTAACTAAAGTCTAGTCCTGGCTTAAGCTTTTGTGAAACCGGGCCTAAAAGTCCAAATTATGAGATACGAAGCTATAACTGTGACATAAAAAGTAAAAATATGAGATACTAAGTCATAATTATGATATTAAAAGTCTAGATTATGAGACACTAAATCATAATTTTGAAATTAAAAGTCTAAATCATGAGAAGCTGAATCATAATTATGACAAAAGTGAAAAATATGAGATACTAAGTCATAATTATGAAATGTAAAAGTCTAGAGTATGAGACACTAAATCATAATTTTGAAATTAAAAGTCTAAATCATGAGAAGCTGAATCATAATTATGACAAAAGTGAAAAATATGAGATACTAAGTCATAATTATGAAATGTAAAGCGAAATGACATGAAGATTCTGTTATTAGTGCAAAAATTAAAAGTCTAAATCATGAGAAGCTGAATCATAATTTTGAAATTAAAAGTCTAAATTATGGGAAGCTGAATCATAATTATGACAAAAGTGAAAATATGAGATACTAAGTCATGATTATGATATTAAAAGTCTAGAGTATGAGACACTAAATCATAATTTTAAAATTAAAAGTCTAAATTATGAGATACTAAATCATAATTTTGAAATTAAAAATCTAAATTATGAGACGCTGAATCATAATTATGACAAACGAAAATATGAGATACTTATTCACTATTATGAAATTAAAAAGTCAGAATTATGAGATACTAAGCAAGCTGTAATTATGAGATAAATAAACAAAATGATGATATGAAAAGTAAAAGAAAAAGATACTAAGGGCCAGTTTGACTAAACAGGGCAAATGAGCGCGATTCCAAAACAGAGCCAGAAACAGATTTACTAACAATGCGCAAATTAAAGACTGCAGACGCAACATCTCATTTACATATCGACCAACACAATATAGCCTACGAAGCGCAGCGCAAATTAGAGTAGTTGCAAATAAAGAATAAATAAAAAAAGAAGCCACAGTACGTTGAAAAGAACCTGAGGCCAAAAAATGAAGGTTTGCTAGAAGTTTTGATAGAGCTGGTATTGCATGACTCCTAGTTGAGGGTTCCAAGTCGTCTTTTATTTCCTAAAGCAAATTAAAAATAACATGTCTTGGCAAACGATATGTTCGGATAATGTGTTCTTCTGGCATTCAAAATAAATTAATATGTGTGGAACAAATCCTTTCCCCTTTACCATGCGCTCTCTGTTCTCTGCAGTGCCTCTCCTAGCAACAATAATTGCAGCCATTTCAAGCGCAAAATAGTTTAAGACATGCTTTTTTGGGGCGTTAAATAATGGTGCAAATGCCAGTAATTTGACGAGCGCAAACATTAGTAAATCTTGTTGCGTGATTCATTTTAATTCTCTCCTCCCATAACTTTTGCGTCTGAAAGGGAATCTCCTACAAATGCATATCCAATAAGGTCAGGTGCAAAAATAACTGTGTCCTAAATCATAATTATGAATTAAAAAGTCTAAATTATGAGATACTAAGTCATAATTATAAGATAAGTTAATTTATAACAAAAAGTTACAATTATGACAAACACAAAAATACTATATCTTACACTAATTGATAATAAAAGAAAAAAATAATAAAAGTCAAAATTATGAGATACAAAGTCATAATTATGAGATAAAAAAATTGACATGAAAAGTAAAAAAATAGATACTAAGTCATAATTATGAATTAAAAAGTAAAAATTATGAGATAGTAAGCTATAATTATGAGACAAAAGGCCTCAATTATGAGATACTAAATCATAATTACTAACAATAAATTAACAGTTGTATTTTATTAACTAAAATGGACAAAAATATTGTAACAAATGTATCGCATTTTGTTAGTTAATGTTAGCTAATACATTTATTAATGTTAACTAATGGGACAGTATTGTAAAGTGTTACCAACATTTCTGTACTGAATATATACTTTCAAGTTGTTCTCTCAAATATTTTATTGGCTAGAAATTGCTCTTTGTGAGTGTGAACGCTATAAAATTGGTTATGAAATTTCACAGGTGCAAAAGTGTTGTAAAATATGCCTCAATATGATGAATGTGAATAATGCTACAGCTCTTTATCTTTGCAAATGCATGTGCAAAATTAGGTAATTTGAATTCTCGTTACTACTGCAATTAAGCTCTTTATAAGATGCACAACTAATTGCCATAACAAGCTCAATTACATGTGCTTTTATTTTTAATCTTGCATAAAGTGTACATTGTAAATTCTGAATTACGTTTAGATGAGAAACATTACTTTTGAAATAAAATGAGACGGAACATTTATTTCTTTTGCTTCAACTTTTTGACATTCATCCCTTTGTGCAAAACTCTAATTGAAGCAACAGTTTACACACTTTCACAGAGCAACACTTGACATCTCATTTCAGACACATAAATAGATGCCAAATGAAGCCACTCGAGGTGCCAGTGAACACGAGAAACTACCCATTACACACCTGTAAACAAACACACGCCGCTCATCTGCTGTAAACGCTGATCTCCTGACGGTGGAAAAGCTGGTCAACATCTTCAAGATCACCTTGCGCTGAAAATGACAAAATGATATCAATCTGTGGAAGCCCATTTCTGCCATATAAGAAACAAAAATCATGTTTTGGTAAATAATCATTATGATGTGAATAAAAAGTTGACATTATAAGATATAAGTTAAAATTATGACATTATAAGGTACATTTTAAGTCATAATTAGGAAAATAATCATTATGACATAAAAAGTCATAATCTTGAATTAAAAATAAAAACGTGGAAAAAAAAGAAAAGTACAAAATATGAGATGTCATATTTTTTAAATAAAAACCCAAAAACACATTTGGATCCACATAGCAACAACTTAGCAACCACCCAAAACATTTACAATCACATAAACACCCTAGCAACCACCGGAAACACATTTGGAACCTCATAGCAACAGCCTAGCAACCACCCAAACAATTGCAACCTCATAGCAACTGCCTAAAAACCACCCAAATCACATTTGCAACCACATAGCAACACCTCAGGAACCACACAAAACACATTTGGAACCACATAGCAACAGCCTAGAAACCACCCAAACAATTGCAACCTCATAGCAACTGCCTAACAACAACCCAAAACACATTCGCAACCACATAGCAACACCGTAGCAACCACCCAAAACACATTTGCAACCACATAGCAACACCTCAGGAACCACACAAAACACATTTGGAACCACATAGCAACAGCCTAGCAACCACCCAAACAATTGCAACCTCATAGCAACTGCCTAACAACAACCCAAAACACATTCGCAACCACATAGCAACACCTCAGGAACCACACAAAACACATTTGGAACCACATAGCAACAGCCTAGCAACCACCCAAAACACATTCACAATCACATAGCAACACCCTAGCAACCACCCAAAACATTTGCAACCACATAGCAACACCTCAGGAACCACACAAATCACATTTGGAACCACATAGCAGCAGCCTAGCAACCACCCAAACAATTGCAACCTCTTAGCAACTGCCTAACAACCACCCAAAACACATTCACAACCACATAGCAACACCCTAGCAACCACCTACAATATTTGCAACCATCCAACACATTTACAACCAAATATACACCCTAACAACCACCCAAAACATTTGCAACCACATAGCAACACCTCAGGAACCACACAAATCACATTTGGAACCACATAGCAGCAGCCTAGCAACCACCCAAACAATTGCAACCTCTTAGCAACTGCCTAACAACCACCCAAAACACATTCACAACCACATAGCAACACCCTAGCAACCACCTACAATATTTGCAACCATCCAACACATTTACAACCAAATATACACCCTAACAACCACCCAAAACACATTTGCAACCACACAGCGACAGCCTAGCAACCACCTAAAACATTTGCAACCACACAGCGACAGCCTAGCAACCACCTAAAACATTTGAAACTACATAGCAACCGCCTAGCAACCACCCAAAAACACATTTGGAACCACATAGCAACCACCCAAAACATTTGCAACCACATAGCAACAGCCTAGCAACCACCCAAAACACATTTGGATCCACATAGCAACCACCCAATTATCTGCAAGCACATAGCAACACCCTAGCAACCACCCAAAACATTTGCAACAACAGCACAACGTAGCAACCACCCAAAACATTTACAACCACGTAGCAACCACGTAGCAACCAGCAAAAACACACGTGGAAGCACACAGAACACCATATAAGCAGACATCAGTGAGATTCTTTCTGAATCTGTGTTCATGCTGGACAGCGGGAGAGGGTCATCGTGTGTTATTGTTGACAGGTTTTCTGTCATCATGTCTCATCATGAATTGCAGTCAATCACATCAGAAAGGCGTAATAATGAAATAAAAAGTCAAAATTATGACAAAAAGTTAAAATATGAGATACTAGGTCATAATAATGAAATGAAAGTCTGAATTATGAGACACTAAGTCATCATGATGAGATAAAAATTCAAGAATATTAGTAATAATTATGAAATAAAAATCTAAGACACTAAGTCATAATTATTAAATAAAAAGTCTACATTAGCAGATTCTTAGTAATTATTATTA